AAACTCGAACAAACATCTTTCCACAATAAAACCTGCCAAAGTTTGATCCACAAAATCAGCAGATGACGTATTTTCTTACCTTATTACTATAACGAAGTAGCCTACTGGGTTCTCTGTCACACACAGAACGCGACGTTGCCGCTTCGTGTTCGAGTACCTATTCGTCAATTATGGCTCCGGATCCACTTAGTCTAAGTAAATGTCGCATATAAATTAAATACACTCTGGATCTAAAAAATCATATTCAGTATGATTTTTTAGACCGTTGATAGATCAACAAATGTTGGTCAAATCGCTGACGAGTATATTGAAATCCTGTTAGTGCAGATCCAACGACGTCACACGCGCATCAAGAATTGATCAAAGTATATCAGTTTTTGCGACGAGGAGCTGAGCAAACACGTCAAATAGGTGGATCAACAATTGTTCTAACTTTTCACTGGATCAACATTTACCGTGAAAGGATGATTACATATATATATATATATATATATATATATATATATATATATATATATATATATATATATATATTAATGTATTCCAACTCAAAAATTTTCGTTGATTCCCCTTCCCCATCCATTGCCTCATAAAATAATTTTTCCATGGTTGCCACGCTTGACAGGCCGGTTTGACAACCGCGATTCTTATTCTATTTTGCTAAATCATAATTTTTAGTTTTGCGAAAAACGAAGATAGATAAATTATTTAAGTTTATTCGTCACTACAATTTTATAAGAAAAAATATACGTAAAATACATATTGGAAATATTATTACTAATCAGCTGGTTATCTTCAAGGTACCTCATGAGCTGTAGTTTACAATGGACTCCATTGTTTTGGAGAACAAGGAGGTGATGGCGGTAGGCCGGTAGTTGGACGGGTCTGAGCGGTCGCCTTTTTTAGGGATCGGGTGGACGAAAGCCGTCTTCCATGATTTTGGGACTGCGCCTAGGGAGTAGGAGCACCGGAAAAGACGCGTTAAAACCGGTGCCAACTCTAGAGCACACGTCCTCAGCACAATTGGGGGGATTCCGTCAGGCCCACTCGACTTATGGATCTTCAGGGAGAGAAGTGCTTTGCGAACCGAGCACTTTGTGAACTGCACTTCCGGCATGGAGCACTCACACCGCAGGATGGTCGGCGGCGTACTCCCCCCGTCATCGAGAGTCGAGTTGGACGCAAAGAAAGAGCCCAGAAGATCGGCTTTCTCCTTTGCGGTATGGGCCAGTGAGTCGTCCTCCCTGTGCAGAGATGGAAGAGATGGCTGATAGAAATTCCCCTGGACAGCCTTGGTGAGAGACCAGAATGCACCAGTTCCAGAAGGAAGGCGAACTAGTTTCTCGCCAATTCTGCCTATGTGCTCTGACTTAGCCTTAGCAATGACTCTTTTGAAGGACCTAGAGGCGGAATTATACTTCTTTTTTATAGCGCTGGTGTTTACATCCCGAGACGCTGATACGTCAGCCCAGGCTCGGTAGCACTCCTGCTTATAGCATGATGCTATTTTACAGGAGCGACCAAACCATGGCTGGGATTTGCCTCCACTGGGCACCACAGAGGAAGGAATAAAAAGTTCCATACCCTGAAGTACCACATCAGCGACAGAATCCACAACAACGTTGGGATCGTCCGGCGAAAAGCTAACCCGCCTCCAAGGGTAGGATGCAAAGAAAGACCGCATCCCATCCCAATCGGCTGACCTATAGTGCCAAACACGGCGGCAGCCTGCACCCTGCATTATGGAGCAGGGCGGGAAATTTAATAAATGGGAGGGAGACTTCAGACGAGGCGTTAACTGCGTATAATAGTGATCGAAGTTCACTTACAGATAAGTTACTTTGATCATACTATTATACCTATTAACGCCTCGTCTGATATGACTATGTAGATGTTGAAAGGTCTTGCGCAATAATGAAAATGTTTTCAAATAATCGTGTTTATTTATGACAATTCACAGTTACAATTAAAATTAATTGACTTATTGATTGCGGAGGATGAATTCACCGTTTTCATTAAGTTTTCATCATTTTCTAAAGGTAAGTTATAAAATATGGCAAAAAATTTTGACCTATGGGACCTCCCAGCTGTTGATTTAATCAAATTTATATTAAGGCCCTTTCGGTGTGCTGCTGATGTAGAGGCATGTCGTATGCTATGTGCAGAGTATATTGATACATCAATTCCGGCCTCAAATAAAACATCTTTTATCCACCTGCTGAGTGTATGGGTTGAAGCAGGAGTATGTGGTTTTTTAATGGTAATAAAAAGATTATTTGTGTTCATCCGTAGTGGTCTTATGGCCTCTAAATAATCACATAATGTTTTTTCAGGGCAAATACTCATTGAAGATCATTTATTTTGGCAGTTTTGATTAATTGGGGAACTTTGATTTTATGCAATTTTTAGTAATAGTAATGTTATCTATTGTTATCAATGAAAAAGTTTGTAATCTTTGAGCTGTTGTTAAAGCTAGTAATATTACTAATTTTTTGGACAAAATACTTAGATCTAATTCTGAATTTGGGTATAAATTGCTTACATAATCAAGTACTAGACTTGGATCCCAAGTTTCTTTATATTTAGGTTGGTTAGGTCTTAATTTAAAGATGCCTTTAAAAATCTATTAATATCGCTATTTGCACTTAATTCACTATCCAGAAGCAGTAACAAAGCTGATATTAAACTATTTAAGGTGCCATAAGAAGCACCATTTTTAAATTTTTCAGTTAAATATTTTAATAATAGGGGAACTGATTCCGACAATGCGTCAGCTTTATTTGTTTGGCAGAATTTCCACCAATGTTGATAACAAGAACTGTATTGCAATAGAGTGTTTTTGACAGAGAATTTATAATAATATTAACACATTCCAAAGAGTATCCTTTTTAAGTAGATCTTGCTGACAACATCCTGCAATTTATGAAAGGCTCTTGTGTAGCGGGTGACAAGACCTGAAAATGGATGAAAGTAATTTTGGGTTGGGTTTTAAATAAATAGGCTTTGAGCTCAACATACTCAAAAAGAGGGGGTGCCATGCTTGTCCTGACCAATTTGGTACTACCACAATACCCTCAGCACGATCTCCTTGAATCTTTTTTAGACAACGCAAAATTACTGAGAAAGGTGGGAAGGCATAAAATTTTAGCCCTGTCCACTCTATGGTAAAAGCATCTACTGAAAAACATTCTGGTTCAATTTTCCATGAAATAAACTCATCACATTTTTTATTTGCATGAGAAGCAAAAAGGTCTATTTCAGGTATTCCTAATTGTATAATATTTTTTTCATAAGCATATAAGGCTAGTTCCCATTCAGTTTCTATATTAATTAACCTAGATTGTGCATCATCTTCTATATTTTCTTTTGAAGGTATTTATGAAGCAAAAATGTGTAGTTTTCTTTTTTCACAAAACTGCCATATTTTTCTAGATAAAGAATTTAAGTGTGGGAATTGTATTCCACCCATTCTGTTTACATATGAAATTGTTGTTGTATTATCCGAGCGAATTAGTATATTACAATCCTTCTCATTTTTTGCAAATCATTTTAAAGCAAAATAAATATCATTTTAAAGTTCTAAGAAATTTATATGATAACTTCTTTCCTTTTTTGACCAGTCTCCATGTAATTTTTTCTGCCCACATACCAGTACATACCAGTACCACATATTCCCCACCCAGTATTAGGTGCAACAGGAAATATTTCTAATTTATATTTTTCTTGCTTAATTTGGGCTGAACATGAGAAGATTACTTTTTTCCACCACAATATGTCTTCTGTAATGTCTAGGCTAATCTTTATTTTGGATTCATAATTATCCCCCGAATTTTATTAAAGCTAAATACTTATTTCTTTCCAAAATTTTGGTGTACATCCATCCATATGGGACGGAAGGACAAATTGATGTTAAGGAACCCAAGAGAGATGCAAACTCCCTGATGGTACATATTCTTTTTTATGTAATAGAGTGTAATTTAGAGCTAATTTTATTTCTTTTTTCTAGTGGAATACTTATTGTAAAATTATCACTATTTAGTATGAAACATAGGAATTTACACTCTTTGCTAGGGTGTAATTGACTTTTTCATTAATTTATAATGAACCCTAATGATTTAAGAAATTGACATGCAGTATTGACATTATTTCTAAATTCATTGACAGTTGGTGATATAAAAAGAAAATCATTAAGATAATTTACCAAAGTTATCCCTTTTGATCTAAGGTAGGAAACTATTTGTCTCATTATTTTGTTAAAAATATAAGGCGCTGTGGCTAAAACAAAAGGTAGGACATTAAACTGATAATGATTGTTATTAAAATAAAATCTTAAATATCTCTTAAATTCTTTGTGAATTTTAAGTAAAAAATAAGCATCTTTTAGATCAAGCGATGCCATGAAACAATTTTTTTCAATAAGATGTAATGCTGTCCTAATATCTTCTAGTTTAAAATGCAACGTTAAAAATACGTTTAAAATAAATCTGGATGAACCGTTTGGGTTTGGAGTTGTAAATATTTTTGAAAAATATTGATATTTTATTAGCTGTGTTTCTAGCGTGTCTGCACCTATTTTTATTAATTCATCTAAACATAGTGAGATTTTTTGCTTTTCAATTTTTGAAAAAGAGTTATTTTGGGGCACTTGAGATTGGTATACTCGTACTATGTTAGACAATGGTATAAAATATCCATTCTTTATCCAATTTAACACAATTGTGTTTTTACTAAAAAAAAAACAATTTTTATAGTAATTTGAGAATCTGCCAGCATAACTTGCCTCTATTCCCGATGACGCCACCGTGGTTGTACTGTCCTGGATGGATTTCTTGTCAATTGCTTGGCGTTGCTTCATAGTATACTTCACTGTCGGAGGCTTGTTTTGTAACTGTCTGGTGTTGTCTTGTCTGGTGTTTTATCGTCTGGTATTGTCTCGTTCTCTGTTCTGTTCGAGGACGGGCCCCAGCTGTTTAAAGGCTTCAGGTCCTTAGCCGAGTTCTCTAATTCTTGGTTTCTTTAAGTATATTTGTAATATCATTTTCAAATAAATAACTGGTGATACGTGTTTTTTCTAAAGTTTCTTTATTGTTTTTATTTACACCAGGTAAAATGACCGCTATACGAGTTTGAGACTCTTTATAATGTGTATGACATAAAAGTTTTATGCAGTTTCCTATGTATTCTGTTGTGTCACTTTCTGTATTCATTTCCAGCATATTGGTTAATATTTCTGTGAGGCCACAAATTACAGACCCGATAATATTTTGTTTATGACAAATATGATCATCTCTTTTCAACGCCTGTGGTAACAGAGTAAACTTTATTTCTGGTTTGAGGTTTGGAGGTAATGTAAGGCAATCTTTGATTATTGAGAATGTTTTTAAAATATCCTCATTTGATTTTTCCTCTAACCATTGCGTAAGAAATGTATTCCACATATTTGTTAGTTCACTATTTACACTAATAATTTTATCGGTTTTCTCCACATGGCCCATTTTTGAAGAAAATTTGGAATATTATTATTGTTACTACAAGAGGGCAAGTTATTGTCGAAAGCTTATGCCGATATGCGATTAATTATACTGTACTCGCTCGAATTACCGTATAATAATATTAATGAAATTTTATAGCAATATTTCGTGACTTTTTCTTAGAAGGTATGAAATAAGTATCACATGTACTCGCTCGTAGATACATTTAGTATACATTAATGAAATCACATGTACTCGCTTTTAATACCATATGACTTAATACAACCGACTTAACATAATATGAAATAAACTGCTTATAGTAAGCAAAAACAGTTTGTTGACCAAGTATAGGCGCTCGTCCTATCGCTAAGGCCAATTTTCATTCTTGAGATATTATTTGTTGTGATAAAACGGAGGACGCATTTTACATTTTAAAATGGCAGCGCCCCCGCACAACTAATGCTTAAAAATCTCCTAGTAAATATACCTTCTGCTTGTGATTAAGAAAATAAAAGATCCATAAGCTTCCTTTTTAGTTTTTCTTTCTTATTCTCCATTTTCTAGTTAATACGCTTAATTTTTTCTCTGTAGATTTATTTTGTTTAAGGATACGACGCGGATTGTTCGACACAAAACGTCATAATGATTTGTCGTACGCCGTCCAGTGTTGCCAGGGACTCGTGGGTGGCCGTCACAATTTTTTTTTATTTTTGGTTAATTTTACCCAAATCTTTGAACGCGTGTTTGTTGATGCGAAAAGTGCATAAACTACATAGTCATATCAAACGAGGCGTTAATAAGTATAATAACGCGGCCTGATTCAATATAATTCGACCTTTAAATACTAGCAGTGGCTAATGTAATTTATTATTTACCTGAAAGCTTTGATAGAACCTCTTAAATTTATTATCACGGTTACAATTCTTGTTGTAATTTGACGTCAAATTAACATCAGTTATCAGCTAAATTGAAAAGTCATTTCAAATATCCGGTTCAAAATTAATTTTCCTCGCTCAAGGTGTCTATGTTTTTTGGTTATCACCAGACATTCAACGAATTAATTAAATGAAGATCACGTGATTTTTATCACGTGGTAGATGCATGTTGCAGCTATATTATGGTTGTAGCACGAACGGCTTAGTTCATCTGGTGAAGGATCACGCTCTCACAGCATACCAGTGTAAAATAGTAGCCCCAAGCTGCTGTGGCTTGTAGGGTAAGTGTAGAGAACCGATAACCATATTCAATGGTAATCATCAGTTTCATCTTAGTCCTCAAGAGTGACAACGCATCTGATTTTGATTTTTAATCGAAGATAGATGTAGATGTCCATGGGCCATAGCAGCCACTTACCATCAGGTGGTATATGTGATCATTTGTCAACTCTTATTCTTTAAGAAAATCACACATTCACAAATATCCATTTGGAATGGATATTACTAATTGAAGAAATAACAGTTTAATGTTATTTTTATCATAATGTACGGTATACTTTAAAAATATGAGTTTAAAAGCGATTGTATTTAATTTACATAATACCATGTTTCTTTACTTTGTACCCTATATTGTTATTATGAATATGCTATATCATAGAGAAGTGTTTGCAGAACTGCGGAGATATTGAAAAATAAACATGAAGTACTGCTAAATTTACCGAAATTGGAGTCTATATGTAGTATGGTTGTGCTACATATAAACGTTTGAAAAACTACCAGATGTGATATTTAGATTAAACTATTATTAAATCTTTCGTTCGCTTTTAAACAAGGTTTTATATACTCGTAGTTCAGCCTAAAATTATGAGGATAAATTTAAGAATTCTTCAATAAAATTGGAGGTTCAATTATAAAGGAAAATTGCTATGAAATGAGAGGTTAATATTTCTAGATATATTTATATATGACGACAATAATGAATCCATAAACTTTATTCCCGTAGAAACCCGAATTTCGTTGAGTTATGTTTCTTACACACAACTCTGTTTAAGAAGGAATTTTTGTTCCAAAGTTGAGCCTACTTATCATTTCTTTTTTAATTTTTACATAATATTTTAATCTCTTATGTACGCCAAAATCAACTAAACTAGCTCCTAAAATTAAGCATCTATATATAAATACTCAAATTATTTAATATATTTTTTTATAAAGCTGTTTGTCATGGTTGACTCGCGTTAAGAGTGGGTTGGAAACCTCAGTTTTTTCTGTATTTTTTTATAGAATAGGGTGACAAACGAGCACACAGTCCATCTGATGGTAAGTGGTTGCTGCGGCCCATAGACATCTACATCTATCCTCCATTAAAAATCAAAATGCAGATGCGTTGTGCACCCGTGAGGATTGAGATGGAATGCCTCGTTTCCAGTAAAAAGGGTCTCCGGTTCTCTACACTCACCATACGAAATACAGCAGCATTAAGCTACTATTTCACGCTGGTATTCTGTGAGAGCGTGGTCCTTCCCCGGTCGAGCCGACCCATTCGTGCTACAACTATACTACTAATATAACTGCAGCATGGCTCTACCACGTATAAACTGTATAATTGCTGTTATCAGGAAGATGCTGCTGCCCTCTTCTGTCTGTCTTCCTCTGTCACCTCTTACGACACCCGTGGTAAAATATGGTTTGGGGGATATTCTCAACCGCCACTAAACGGCTGCAACCGTCGCCGCACTTTAGAAATAATGAGTAACAATAATAAATGCAGTGGCATTTTACTTTGTGTTTTTTCTTTACATAACCAGTTTGAAACATCTTTCTTAGTATATAGTGTGTATACGCAAATTATAAATGGACGTATCATTATCCATTTGTCATCTTTGCTTTAATCATATTTCTTTACTTACTGTAATTGTGTTTGGGATGTATATTCACCAATCATTCAGTAAATGTAAAAAACAGTCTCCATACCATGTTTGTTTGTCTGTGCACTCCCGGCAAAACTGAACTACTAAAAGGAGTTTTCATCAATCTTACAATTCTAATAAATGCTGAATATACTTACTTCTTTGTTTTAAACTATTAATTATTTTAACAGTTCACAAATTTAACTTATAACAATGGTGAAACTACTACACAATCGCTCTTAATTTGTTTTTAGGTTACTTTGATATTCATAATTTAATCTTTAGTTTCTCAGTATTCCCGTTAGAAGTGGTTAAAGGTAATAAAGCAATTTCAGTTTCAAAAAGTATTTCACCTAATCATAATCAGTATTTTAACTAATCACCAAAGTACACCTTCTAGTCACTCTTTCAAGTCCGGAGGTAATATCTCATCATAACTAACAAAACGAAGCCAAACTCGGCACACCTAGTTCTACTCCTTGAGGAGTTGCAGTAGCCGATACCAAAGTATACCCTCTGGTAGTTCCATAAAGTCCAAGACGTATAAATATATTTATATATAAATCCTACGTACTTTTAGAGAAACAATATACTACAATAAAATTAATGATAATATCTTACCTTGGTCAAGTATGTATTGAATTTGGTTTTTGAAATATTTTGTATATATCTACAGCGATCGATGTTTTTCATCACAAGCCGTTGCAATCAAATGTTAAAGTAACCCGTTACAGTAACAGTAACCCACGACGGCACCCGAGCCCGGAGTGAGTCAAAATGTACATATTTAGTAAAATATATTATTTACTACCAGGCTGCTCAAACACCGAAAATTTCGGAACTTATCAGTCATAAAAATTAATTATAACTAAATATAATAAAATTAAATAGTATAACGTTCACTAGTCACGGCTGATTAATGAAACGTCACAAATATTCCGAATTCACGGTTTATTCACATAACTAGTAACAATATAGGTCCTTAATAAGTAAATACATAAAACGACGTCTCGCGAAATGCAGCGCGAGCGCGGGAGCGATCGATAACATACAATGGGTATATTCCGAAACGTTTTAATATACTGCCAAATACAAATGACGTCATCAAATGACACTATATTGTACTGGCGTGCCGCCGCCATATCGCGTCGGATATCGGCCATAACAAAACAATTTTTAATTGTGTGTGCGCTGAATGAAGCATGCCAAAATTTGTTTTTATTGATTCAAATACAAAAAATTATGGAATAATTGTTTGTATCTCCATTAGGAGGATATAATGATTTTTGGTTCACAAAATGACAAAATAATTGCCAACACTTTTCCTATATGATGCAAATGTATGACGTCTTATACTGTCCTATGTTTTGGATCGAATCACCAGTATAGCGACGATTCATGACGTCATTTGCATTGGACAGTACACTGGGTTCTATTTTGGAACATACCCAATATCTTAGAGCTAGTCGGCTAGCCGGGTTCTTGTACTTATGATAGCGAGGCATCGGGTGGCATAGTTAGTATTGGCGCGTTACAACAGTCATTTACATTAAATGGCTTCCCAAATGATAGATGAAAGGATTAAGAAATAGAGTGAGTTTGAACAATTGATATTTTCAAAAGTTATCGTGTTTACTTTTCTAGTGTAACTAGTTATAAAAATGGTTGGTCATATTTTAATGGCATGCAAATAACCCCCTCAGCTCAATACGAGATAATTTTGATAACACTGTCAGACACTTTTCAAAATTTATCAGCCATAAATGTCATTTATATTTTTTATAGAATATGGATAGCAAACGAGCATTCAGTCCAACTGATGGTAAGTGGGTGCTGTGGCAGATAGACATCTACATCTATTCTTGATTAAGAATGAAAATGCAGATGCGTTGACCCCTCAGGACTAAAATGGAATACCAGTATCGTTTTTAGTAATTCACCATCCGAAACACAGCAGATTTGGACTGCTGTTTTAAGCTCGCATTCTGTGAGAAAGTGGCCGTTCCGCGATCGAGCCGACCAATTCCTGCTACGACCATAATGTAATTGCAGTAAAGCTCTACCACGTGAACCAAAAGCTACACGCTAAGTATAATACTAATAACACTGCTGGGCACAGATCTCATATTACTTATAGATTATGGATCAATTATTCTGCCATGTCAATTACGACCTCACATGC